CCTGAGATGGGTCATTTAAATGTATTGCTGACAATTCGACGATCGTAGCATTGTATAATCTTTATTTGAGTACAAAATTTAAAGGTCATATTGACTGGGCAATAATAGGTATTATATTATTATAACACCATAATGTTGAAATAGTAATACAGTAACGATTACAAAAATAATATTATTATTTTTGTGAGATCAAAATTCCAAAAAGTGTCAGTCAAATAAAAATAAATTTTTAATTTTTCATAAAAAATTTCAGATATCTCGCGCGTTTACGCGCGTTTCTTTTAGCTAGTTAAACTTAATAATTGTTTACAGTAATTAACTTAATTAATATTATAATTAGTTTTGTTATAGGGACCGTCCATATACCACGTGGACAATTTTTTACAGATTTTTGACCCCCCCCTCCCCCCTTGTGGACACCAAAATGCATTGGATCGTGGACAATTTTATACATTTTTAAACCCCCCCTCCTCCGCGAAAGGTGGAAAAAGATATATTTTTTGAAATCATTTATCATATTTTAAAAATAATATGTATATAAATTATTAATTTATTGCTTCCTCCAAGAGGAAGCAAATCTTTTGCTTTGCGCAATGAGGAAGCAAAATGTTCATGAAATGAACATAAACTTCTTTTATAAAAAGGGACCCCCATCTTGTTTGGTAAGTTCTTTATGCTGTTGGATGCGTTTTTAGTCATAAAAAGGGTCTTCCTCTACTCGGATTTGGGTTTCAATTTTTTTCTACACTTTTCGGTGTATTCTGTGCATGAATATGCAATAAAATCGTCTGCCTAAGAAAAATTGAATTTTTTTGGTAAGTTTTTTATGCTTCTGGATGCGTTTTTGGTCATAAAGAGGGTCTTCCTCTACTCGGATCTGGATGTCAATTTTTTTCTACACTTTTCGGTGTATTCTGTGCATGAATATGCAATAAAATCGTCTGCCTAAGAAAAATTGAATTTTTTTGGTAAGTTTTTTATGCTGTTGGATGCGTTTTTGGTCATAAAAAGGGTCTTCCTCTACTCGGATCTGAGTGTCAATTTTTTTCTACACTTTTCGGTGTATTTTGTGCAAGAATATGCAATAAAATCTTTTGCCTAAGAAAAATTAAATTTTTTGGTAAGTTTTTTATGCTTTTGGATGCATTTTTGGTCATAATAAGGGTCTTCCTCTACTCGGATCTGGGTGTGAATTTTTTTCTACACTTTTCGGTGTATTCTGTGCAAGAATATGCAATAAAATCTTCTGCCTAAGAAAAATTGAATTTTTTTAGTAAGTTTTTTATGCTTTTGGATGCGTTTTTGGTCATAAAGAGGGTCTTCCTCTACTCGGATCTGGGTGTCAATTTTTTTCTACACTTTTCGGTGTATTTTGTGCATGAATATGCAATAAAATCGTCTGCCTAAGAAAAATTGATTTTTTTTGGTAAGTTTTTTATGCTTTTGGATGAGTTTTTGGTAATAAAAACGGTCTTCCTCTACTCGGATCTGGGTGTCAATTTTTTTCTACACTTTTCGGTGTATTCTGTGCAAGAATATGCAATAAAATCTTCTGCCTAAGAAAAATTGAATTTTTTTAGAAAGTTTTTTATGCTTTTTATGCTTATCTGACCAAAGGATTTTGAAAAATAATCAAAAAAAAAAATTTTATGGTCTTTTTTCCAAAAATTTTTTTTTTAATCGAAAAAATGTTTAAATAGAAAAATTTAAGGTTATATATAATAAAATCGTATTCTTTACGTCAAGACGAATCGATAGATATATAGAGTATACATTTGAGGTAAATTTAAAGAATTAATGAAATTTAAAAAATCAAAAATTCCCTTTTTGTCAATAAAATTGTGCTTTCTCCACGAGGAAGCAAATTTTTTTGCTGATCGTAAAGAGGAAGCAATATTTTCATGTAATGAACATCTGAATTTACAACTTGTTTTTAGATTGAATGTTTTCCTGGTAAATGAAGATATCACTTACAAAGTCAAATAATGTTAAAAAAACATGTCGCCATTATTTTTTTACTTTAAAACATGACATATAACTTTTAAAAAAAACCTACCAATTGAACCTAAATTGCATGAGAATAAGAAATATGATCAGTCAATTTTATTCCATTTTTTTAGGTAGAATGTTTTCCTGGAAAATGAAAAAATCCCTTAGAAAGTCAAATACAGTTAAACAGCATGTCTGTATTATTATTTTTATACCTTAAAAAATTAAGTAGTACTTTTAAAAGCACTACCAATTGAACCTAAATTACAAGAGAATAAGAACAATCAAATTTATTCCATTTTTTTAGATAGAATGTTTTCCTGGAAAATAAAAAATCCCTTACAATGTCAAATAAAGTTAAATTTGAAGAAAAAAAATGTTTTTTATAAAATTAATTTGTTTTAGAAAGAGACTTAATCAAAAGTTTGAAATTTGAGAAATTTAACAAAAAAAGTAAATTTTGGCATTTAAGCAGCCCACACAGCACTGAAAGTTTCGTAAACATTTATTAAATCTTTAACTGCAATGTTCGGAATGTTTAATTGCAAACTTGAGTAAAGGTTGCATAAATATTAAAATGTCCGCCATGAATAAATGTCTATTAGAATAGTTGAGTAAACATTTAAATTAAATATTCGTTAAATCTTTATCAGGAAAGCTGAGTAAACATTTAAATTAAATATTCCTTAAATGTTCATCAGGATAGTTGAATAAACATTGAAATTAAATGTTCGTTAATTGTTTAGTTCAAAAGTTGAATAAACATTGAAATTAAATGTTCGTTAAATGTTTAGCAGGTAAGTTGACTAAATAATTAAATTAAACATTTGTTTAAGTTTTATCGCAAAAGTGGACTGAAAATTTAATTTAAATATTCAGTCAATTTTTGCGACGAACATTTTCTGAAAATTTTAATTACATTTTCAGAAAATAAAAATAAATAATATTTAAGAAGTATTAATAATAATAATAATAATAATAATAATAATAATAATAATAATTATAATAATAGATTATTATTATTATTGTTGTATTAATTTATATTAATAGTTATTAATTATTATTATTAATTGTTAGTTATTAAATCGGGGGACAATAAAAAAAATTTATTTTTTGGGAATAAAAATAAAATAAATAAGTTTCAACATCGTTGCTCTGCTTTGATGCTTTGTTTCACACTGAATCAAGTATTGCATGCTTGATAAACAACAATTTTTGAAAACAAATTGGGGTGTGCTGGGGATTGAAAAAATGATTTTATAATTAATTTTATTAATCAAATAAAACTAGAATATTTATTACTTTTAAGAAGAAAAAATTTGACGGAAAAAAAATTTTTTTGTTCAGAGTTATAACGGAATTTGTATTGTTTAATGAGAAGCGACACAAGATGGCAGCTGTTGGGGAGCATTTTTTTGAGAATTTGAAATTAAATTAATTTTAGAAAAAAATACTTCTGATTTTTTTTATCACGTACCAATTTATTTTGTTCACTTACATATTAAATAAAAATAATAAAATAGAAAATAAAATAAATTATTAATTTAATTTAATTAATCAAATAAAACAAGAATATTTATTACATTTAGTGAAAAAAATTTGACGAAAAAAACATTTTTTGTTAACGATATTAATGATAAGCGCCACAAGATGGCAGCTGTTGACGAGCATTTTTTTGAGTAGTATAAATTAATATCATTTAAAAAAAATACTGATGACTTTTTTTAAGACTTATCAATTTATTTATTTAAATTGAATATTGGCTAAAATAGAAAGCAAAATTAAATAATTAATTAATTAATTATTACTTTTTCTAATAATAATAAACCTAATTTCTTGAAAAAAAATTTTATAAAGGAAAAAAAAAATTTGTTGTTTAACAAAACACGTCACCAGATGACAGCTGTTGACGGACAATTTAAAAAAAAAATTTATTGTCTAATTTTTTTTAAACAATTTTTAATAATTTTAAGAAAAATGACTTATAATTTATTATTTTTACTTTTTAGTAGTTAAGTTTTTTCCATTACATTTAAATATATATTAACAATTTGAATACAATAACTGTAAAATAAAAAAAGTAAACAAACAAGTTAACCCCACTTAACCTGACAAATGTTATTTTTTTTTCTACTTACCTCAGAACAAGTTTCTTTTCATTTCCAAAATTTTCTTTCACTTTTTTTAATCCACTTTTTTAACCACTTATTTATTTTTGATAATTTTTGAAAATTAAAAACTTTCTGTTTTTAATTCATATTTTTTTAAAACCTGTTGATTTCTAGGGAATTTCTTCTGTAGACGACCAATCAAATTATTTCATAAAACGGAAGTATGCTTTTTGTTAATTCTTTCTGTTTACATTGAGAAGTTGCAAAAATTTCCAAAATGGCTGGCAAACAATACCCACCCACTAAGAATTTTTTCAAAATCCCATTTCTTTCATCTCGAAATCTACAAGAAAGTTTTCAAAATAAATTGAGAGTCCCCCCACAAATTCAATTTAAATCGGTTTGGCCAAATATTGAACGCGTATTACTAATCACCCATCCAGTATACACTGGAAAAAAATTCGATTTAAATAATCGGTTACTTGACTATTATCAAATAAATTTTTACTTGAACTAAATAATTTTTATTTAAATTAAATAAATTATATTTGAACCAATAATTTCTGTATTTGAAACAAAAATACCGTACTCAAATATAATAATTATTTAATTCAAATAAATATTTATTTGACAATACACAGTCAAGTAACCAATTATAAATTTTTTTCAGTTTATAATAAATATGTCTAATATTTTTATATTAATTTGAAAATTGATTTTTACAAAATGAAAAATATGAATTTGACATATGATATGGATTTAATAGAAAATTGTATGTAATATATATTATAGGGAATACGGAAGTAAATATAGAGTAAAAGGAAGAGCATATTAGTATATATATAATTTACGTTGTCGATAGAGTGCATAAGTGATAGGAAATTGCCTTTGGAATTTCAGAGCTCGATTTCCACTGCACTTGTTCATTTTTTGGAACGTTTTATGCTTATCCTTCCAAGTGAGAGTAAAGAACATCTCTTCTGCCGTGTCGAGGCAAATTCGATCCATTGGATTTCCCGAGGGTAGCGGAATGGGGGTACTAAATCAATCATTCACATTCGCTTAATAGGTCTCGAATGCACACCCTATATACATATAAACAACAACACTAAATTAATGTCATAATTCACAACCAACTTATTTCTTTATCTTGCCAAATACAATAATAATTTTTCTTATTTAAATTCAATTCCTTTTTTTCAACTTTAAACAATTCTTAAAATTAATTTTACAATATTTTCTTATCCTTTTTTTCTAAAAAAGCCAATTTTAATGAAATTAGTTTTCTAAAAAATTTGTTTCTAACAAGTTTTGATTCCTAAAAAAAATTTTTCTAATAAAGTTCAATTTTTAAAAAATATTTTTAAATTTTTCTAAAAGTAATAATTTATTATTGAAATATTTCTATTAAAATGTTGAAATGCTTTTATTATAATTTGCAGTCACTTTTATTAAACATTTATGTTATTGCCAACACTTCTAAGATAATTTAGAATATCATCTTTGTTAATTTTAATTGTTAATTTTTGTTAATTTGAAACTTTTTTAAATTAAAATGACACAATAAATTTTGACACAATGAATTTTGAGTTTATAATAAAGAACTGATAAGACTTCTCCGAAGTTGCTGGCGAATAACAAAAAACAATTTATATTACATTTTAAGTTGAACTGCAATATCAATTTCTGTTATTATAAATTTTAGTAGACTTTGTTAGAAAAAAAAAACAAATTAGAAATTGAAGTTAGAAAAAAAAATTTTAGCAAAAAAAAAAATTTTTAATTATTTTTTAGAAAAAGTGTACCCCAACCATTAGTTCCATATATTGTCAAATTATACGTATTTCAAGAAATCAATTAATCACAATTCTCTTTGACGAATTTTTAATTTCAGATCTTTTTCGCTGTGGCAATACCAATAGACATACCAGATAAATCAATTTCAGTTTCATTTTACTTTGAAGCAAACTACGCACTTCCTGGTGATAAAAATTCCAGTTATTACGACGAATATTATCAAAAAAGAAATATCGATAGAAGTTTAGCTTATAATATTGTGAAAAGAAAATTCGAAAGGTTTAATTTATTTAATGAAATATTTAAAATAATAAATCAATTTTACACAATTATCGTTATTTCGCGAGAACTAATAAAAAGTAACAATAACATTAAATAATTAAATAACAATAATAAATAATAAAATACTTAAGTTATTATTCTCTGCACTAACATAATATTTATTTATTTCTATTATATTTCCTTTGAAAGAAAGTGAATTATTGAAACTTTCTATAATTAAAAGTTTTTTCAATAATTTAATATATAATATGATGTATTCCACGCCAAAGTGTAAGTCCATTTGCAATTGCATCTCCGATTTTTTTGAGATTTTTTTTTCTTTTAGTACTAATTGAGACTAGCTTCCATGAATTTTTTCAAATTTTTTTAACAATCCGTTTTCGAGTTATGGAATTTTGAAAATTGGAGAATTTTCATGACTTCTAATTTTTGAATGCTCATAACTTCCTTAAAAATGCATCAATTTTAAAAGTCTTTTTTTAAAATGGGTGTTTTTAAACGTACTTTTCAAAAAAAAAATCGAAATTTTTTTTAAACGATATAGGGTCAACTGGGGTAAATCCGAACGCTTTTAGTAAGTTTCAACAATAACATAAGTTTTTTCTTTAAAAAAAAAATACTTCCGGTATTCTGGTGCATGAAGTTGTTACTTTACTTCCATAGAACAATTTTATGGGGTAGAAAAAATTTTTGATAAATTACAATCGCAGGAAACTTAGCGTTCGTATTTACCTCGATACTTTGCAACTTTCCTAAAATATGGGGGTAAATACGAACGCCACTGTATTTCAGAAAAATCTTAGGGAAAATAAATTTAAAGTATTGCAATTGTTAAACTTATATAAAAACTCAAAAAAAATACGATAATAAACCTATTATGTAATAATGCATCATATATAAATACAAAAATCAAACAGGTTAAAAATTAAAATGTATTACACAATTAAAACCTTCAATAACTTTATCAAATCATAACGGATTTTTGCAAAACTTGGTACAGAAAGTATTTTGGAGTGATTGAATGTAAATACAAAAATAAAAGTCAAATTTTTTAAATTCAAAATGGCGGACTTTCCTAAAACTTATTTTTAAAAATGATCAAAAATTCGTAATCAGCGACCCTGAAACCCCTCGAGTAACAATTTTCGAGCGAATCCAATGAATTTTTTAATTCTCGTCCGCCATTTTGAATTTTGAAAAACTGACTTCAAATTGGTAATTAGCGACCCCAAAAACCGTAGAATACCAAATTTTATTAAGATCCTGAAAAACTTTTTTCAACAAACCATTTGGCAAAAAACTTGAAACACTCCTTCGAGAGAACAGAGATTAAGTTTCTGCTTATTAATTACTAACGAGGATACGTATAGAAAGAAAAACTTTTTTCTATGTACTTTTATAATGTTAAAATAATAGTGTAATCAAATAAAAACAATTTTGTGTGGCTTTGATGTAAAAAAAAATTATTAAAAATACCGTTCGGATTTACCCCAGTTTTCCAATTTTCTTGGGTAAATACGAACGGTCTGATATTATTAATAAAATTTTACAGAAGGCAAAAATCAAATATAGTTTCTGTTCTAGTATTCATAACAAACAATTATAAATAATAAAATGAATTTTTAGCTTCTTTTTCTTCAAATACGAGACAAAATACTGAAAGAGTGTCATCTTTGATTTTCAATCTTTTTTGCAATACTTGTTATCTTTGTTTATGCTGTTGCTAATTAACAAACAAAAAATGGGATAATACTTAGAATCTCTTCAAGAGGATCTGAGGTAAAAATTCTCATATCGAACTTATTTTTAAAAATTTTAATTAAGCTGAAATAATTAGCGTTCGGATTTACCCCCCGTTCGGATTTACCCCGACTGACCCTAACTATCAAATTTTTGAAGTTTAATGAAAAAAAGTCATTTCTCTCATTTGACATACTAATCGACTTTTATCAAAATTTTTTCAAAAATAGTACTTCTTTTTACGAAACTTTTAAGCCTAGTCCGATAATGGGCAAACAATTTTTACAATATTTTCGGAATTTTTCAAAAATTTTTGAATTTTTTAAAAATATTTTTGGTTTTTTTTTATACTACTTACTTTTATGTATTTTGATGCTCTGATTACAAAAATCATAATGACAATACCCAAAAATTTGATTTTTATTGATGCATTTTTAAGGAAGTTATGAGCATTCAAAAATTAGAAATCATGAAAATTCTCCAATTTTCAAAATTCCATAACTCGAAAACGGGTTGCTAAAAAAATTTGAAAAAATTCATGGAAGCTAGTTTCAATTAGTACTAAAAGAAAAAAAAAATCTCAAAAAAATCGGAGATGCAATTGTAGATGGACTTACACTTTGGCGTGGAATACATCATATTATATATATATAATGTAAAAGTTTTTTATCAACTTTTTATAATTAATTTTTGAATAATATAAATATTTTCTCTTTAGTGTGGGATTTCCGGGTAAAGCATGTCTATTACGTACAATTTGTGAAGTTGCGGAAAAGCCAATAAATGAAAATGGATTAATTGGAGATATTTTACACATCCTTTTTACGTGAGTGAAGAGTTTTGCGTATAATTTTTTTTTAATCTGAAAATTTCATCTAAATTAAAATGAATTTGAAGAGATTATAAAATACTACATCTGAAATTCTCGTTCTAGTATTTATTAAAAGCTTTTGAAATATTGAATTTTGAATATTTTGGTATAAATGAATACGAATGAAAAAAAATTAATTAAAAAGAAATAATAGATATTAAAAAAAAAAAATAAAAAATTGAAATAATTTAATTTTATTCTTCAATTTAAATTTACAGAAAAATGTAATTTACAAAAAAAAAAAAAACATATATAGGGTCAGTTGGGGTAAATGGGGACAAAATCGATATTTTTGACAAATTACCCCATTTACCCCAACTGACCCTATTTATATAAGTAAATATTTTAATAATATGATAATATGTCATTTGGAAATTAATTGTTTAAAAATTGATTTTGATAATCACTTTTGTGTAATAATATGGATAAAAAATCACTTCCTTGTTTAAACTATTTATGTACATAATCGATTGTACTTCAAACATTCCCGAATTATTTTCTTTTCATGTGAAAAGTAAATTTTTCTCTCTGTTTTGTATGTTCTTCATTAACAGAACAAATTATTTACTTGCAATGTACACAAATTTTCTATACTTTATTTACGTAAACAAAAAAAATGAGTAACTATTTACATAAAAACTGTAAATAAACATATATTATGACCATTAAAAAAAAACTTTTTGGTAAATAATATTTATCCTCAAAATCAATTTCACGTACCTATTTCTAAAATATTATTTACATTCATTTTTATTTTATTTACAATTATTTTTCAACCTTTTTTTATATTATATAATAAGTATGAAATAATTCTTTCAGGCCTTCCAGTTCACGTGATGAAAATTTGCCAAATGAAATAAAAGAAGCTGAATTTATAAAAAATTGCCATAAATATAATGAACAATGTCCTGTTAGTTTATTAGATAAAATAAGTTACTATTTGTAAAATTGAAAATTTTTTAAGTTTCTCCATTAAAATTTTTCATCAATTTTTTATTGTAATGTAAATAAAATAATAATTGCAAATATTGTTGAAATTTATGAAAAATCTATTTTATTATATGTACATAAAACATGATTTTTTATAATATAATAAATAAAATGATTAATAAATCCATTTTTTAGGGGTGAGTGGGGAGTTGTGCTCCAAGTTTTGTTTTTCGATCAAAACTATTAGGGTCAGTTGAGGTAAATGGGGACAAAATTGATATTTTCACAAATTACGTAAGTTCCTTCCTTAAAAAGGTAATATTTGCGGGTTTATTTTTTTTAAGTTGTTATTTACGTTCCCAGGATTAATTTTATGCAGCAGAAAAAAATTTAGATAAGCTATAAACGCATGAAACTGACTGTCCCCATTCACCCCAAAATTTAGAAAATTTCATAAAATTTGGGGTAAATGGGGACAGCATAGTTTCTAAAAAAGTTTTAAGAAAGAAGTTTCCTGATGAATATTACTGTGTTAAGGGATGAAAAAACTTGAAAAAAATTTGTAGTAGATATATAATAGTTGAACAGATTAAAATTTTTTTATTTAAAATTTTTTTTTTTCATTTTAGTATTTTGTCTCGCATTTGAAAAAAATAGACTTTAAAATCATTACAAATTTTTTTCTTATTCTATATGACTCCCATAACAGAAATTCACTTGAATGTTTGATTTTTGCTAATTTGGTAAATAATGACAAGCTATCCCCATTTACCCCAAAAATTGGAAAACTCAGGGTAAATGGGGACAGTTTGTCATTATTTACCAAATTAACAAAAATCAAAAATTCAAGTGAATTTCTGTTATAGGAGTCATAAGGAATAAGAAAAAAATTTGGTATGATTTTTAAGTCTGTTTTCTTTGAAATGCTCGACAAAATACTGAAACAGTTTGACTTTGATTTTCAAGTTTTTATGCATTGAGTGATAACTTGAATTATCTTGCCACCAATTGTCAAGATAAAAGCTTGGCAATACTCAAAACCTCTTGCAGATGATATGAGGTTAAAATATTGACGTTGAACTTAATTTTAAAACTGTAAATTAAGCTCCAAAACCTCTTGTCCCCATTTACCCCAACTAACCATACATAATTTTTTTTTACTATTCTAATATAGAACTTTTACTACACGTAAAAATACAATTTTTGGCATAATTGATTAATTAAATTCAAAAAGGAAATAGAAATTTCGCTTGTTCTTCGAAAATACTGGTTTTATGATTTTTCAAAAACAGTGGGGAGCTGCGCTCCACCGTTGAAAATTGAAGAAAATGACATATTTTTTAGAATATTCTTTATTTAAATTATGAAATGTGAAAAAAGTAAGATAACATACATAGAATAAAGTAATAGATAAGATAAAGATTAATTTTATATAATTTAGATAAAATTATATTATTTTAAGGGGGGTATGGTATTTAATTTTTTTTCTTGCATTATTATTTTTTTAAATGAATGTGTTTGACCTTTTGCGGACATTTCTGAATGTTTTCTGATGTCATTAATGTGTATGTATAAGTTTTGGGGTCGTTGATTACGAATCTGAAGTCTGATTTCAAAAATTGTCAAAATTTAAAATTGCGCTTTTCTCGAAATGACGTTTTTGAAGTCCATGTGATCACGATATCTCAAAATCTACTGAACCAATCTTTTTAACATTTGGCACAGTTCTTCTTAACTAAATTTCCCAGGTAACTACGAGATACTTTTTTTTAATAATTATTAATTATACAGTAAAAAATGCATCGATTTTTTCAGCGAAAATCGAGTTTTTTGGTTTAAAGTGCTGCGAAAAAAAAAAAACCTCTTGTAGTTACCTCGAAAAAAATCAACCTTAAACAACAAAACTTTTTTTTTATTTAGATGATCCTGTTGCGAGTTACGTTGAACACCGCAAATCCATTTTTTACGAGGCGCCTGAAGAGATTTACTGCCACTATTGCAATTTGCAATATTTTTCACTGAGAATTTAGGAAAATATACTTCAAATATTGTATTAATATCTGGAAATTAAGTTAATAAATTAACTATACCCCACCCACCTTAAAAATAATTGCATGAAACTAGATAATTAATTTCATTTACAGTGGATACAGATGTAAAAAGTCTCGTTATACTAAAGAACAATAATTAAATGTTCAAAACATTCTAATTATTCATAAAAATAATAGAAAATAAAAATAGAGAGTGCGTATTAGAAATAAAAACTGTTAAATATGATGTGAGGTACAACTCAACTACGTGTTGTTTTAAGGTAAAAAAATAATAGAGACATGCTGATTAATTTTATTTAAATTTGTGAGGTATTTTTTCATTTTCCAGGAAAACATTCTATTTAAAAAAAGGAATAAAATTCATTATTCTTAGTCTATTGCAATTTAGGTTCAATTGGTTGGTTTTTGTGAAGGTTTTAGTTGTGGTTTTTAGGTAAAAAAATTATAGAGACATGCTGATTAATTTTATTTGAATTTGTATGAAATTTTTTCATTTTCCAGGAAAACATTCTATTTAAATAAATGGAATAAAATTCATTATTCTTATTTTACTGCAATTTAGGTTTAATTGGTTGGTTTCTTTTTGAAGGTTTTAGTTGTTTCTTTAAAGTAAAAAAATAATAGAGACATGCTGATTAATATTATTTGAATTTGTAAGGATTTTTTCATTTTCCAGGAAAACATTCTATCCCAAAAAATGGAATAAAATTCATTATTCTTAGTCTTTTGCAATTTAGGTTCAATTGGTAGGTTTTTTTAAAGGTTTTCCTTATTGTTTTTAAGCAAAAAAATAATAGAGACATGCTGATTAATTTTATTTGATTTTGTAAGGAATTTTTCCATTTTCCACGAAAACATTCTATCCCAAAACAAGGAGGGGGTCCTTTATGTTTATTTCATAAACATTATGCTTCCTCATTGTGTGAAGCAAAAAATTCGCTTCCTCGTGAAGGAAGTAATGAATTTGTCCAATTCAATTGATTGATTTAAAAAATTTCGAGGTAAAAATGTTTTAAATTAATTAAATTTTTTGAAAAATAAAGAAAATTTTCATTAATTTTGAGTGTAACATAAACTTTATATATACGAATCGATTCGTTTTAATGCAAGGAATACAATTATTTTATTCATCAACTTGAATTTAAAAAAAACACAAAATTTTTTAGCTAAAATATGAATTTTCGATTTTTCAATTTTTATTAATTCTCAAATTTTAAATCAAATCTATACTTTATATATACCAACCAATTCGTTTCAATGCAGGGAATAAAATTATTTCATATATAAACATGAATTTAAATAAACACATCATTTTTTAGCTAAAATGAGAATTTTTGATTTTTTAACTTTCTTTAATTCTTTAAATTTCAATCAAATCTATACTTTATATATATCAATCGATTCATCTTGACATAAAGAAGACGATTATATTATATATTACCTTAAATTTTTCGATTTAAAAATTTTTTCAATTAAAAAAAAATTTTTGGAAAAAAGACGATAAAATTTTTTTTTTGGGGTATTTTTAAAAATCCTCTCGTCATTTTTGAGAGATTAATGTGTTAAATAAGCCTACCAAATTTTATCCAAATCCATTAAAACCTGTTAAAGATATCGTGTTCACAAAAACGATCCACACACACATACACATACACACACACACACACATACACACACACATACATACATCCGGACAATTGATCAGGATCTCATATAACATGTTTCTATATAGAGGAAAATTTGTTTTCACCATTTTTAAAAAGTTTATAAACGAAAGGACTACATAGCTTCCTCCACGAGGAAGCAAAATGGAATAAAATTGATTATTCTTAGTCTATTGCAATTTAGGTTTAATTAGTTGGTTTTTGTGAAGGTTTTAGTTGTTTTTTTGAGGTAAAAAAATAATAGACACATGTTGATTAATTTTATTTGAATTTGAAAGGAATTTTTTCATTTTTCAGGAAAACATTCTATCCCAAAAAATGGAATAAAATTGATTATTCTTAGTCTATTGCAATTTAGGTTCAATTAGTTGGTTTTTGTGAAGGTTTTAGTTGTTCTTTTTCGGTAAAAAAATTATAGAGACATGCTGATTAATTTTTTTTGAATTTGTAAGGAATTTTTTCATTTTCCAGGAAAACATTCTATTTAAAAAATGGAATAAAATTGATTATTCTTAGTCTTTTGCAATTGAGGTTCAATTAGTTGGTTTTTGTGAAGGTTTTAGTTGTTCTTTTTAGGTAAAAAAATTATAGAGACATGCTGATTAATTTTTTTTGAATTTGTAAGGAATTTTTTCATTTTCCAGGAAAACATTCTATTTAAAAAAATGGAATAAAATTGATTATTCTTAGTCTTTGGCAATTGAGGTTCAATTAGTTGGTTTTTGTGAAGGTTTTAGTTGTTCTTTTTAGGTAAAAAAATTATAGAGACATGCTGATTAATTTTTTTTGAATTTGTAAGGAATTTTTTCATTTTCCAGGAAAACATTCTATTTAAAAAATCGGACAAGTGCGAGTTACACTCGCACTGAAATCGAGGGTTCCGTACTCGAAGCGAACTTATTTGGTATAAAAACAAATGTTTAAAAAATATGTGTTGTATGACAAATAATATAAGTGATACAAAAAGGAACAATTTTGTAAAATTCAAGAAAATTGTTCCTCTTCGTATCACTTATATTAGTTGTCATACAACACATATTTTTTAAACATTTGTTTTTATACCAAATAAGTTCGCTTCGAGTACGGAACCCTCGATTTCAGTGCGAGTGTAACTCGCACTTGTCCGATTTTATTTTTTAAAAAATATTTTACTAAAAAAATATAAGAATCATAATTTTATTTCAACTCGCAATATTTTTATTGTATTTACATTTTAAAAATATATTGAATATTAAATTTTATCTTTCTAAGTCAAAAAGAGATAAAACTTAAGATATTGATATAAGGCTAGTAGCTGCTTG